CTATGTTCTGGCTTTATTTAGGTTCTTTTTACTGTAGCTTTCTTTTATTTTGTTATTTTTTCAATTTTTTGAGGGATTGTCGGAAAGAGTTTTTTTGCAAAATCATTCTTTATTGATTTGAAAGGAATATCTTATGAAGGAATTAAGTATATATTGAAGTTTGTGAAAAGTTTCGGATGTAAACTATACTTTAATATATTGTTAATTGGTGGTGGAAAAGTTGGTGATACTGGACGAAACGAAACAGCATTCGTCCACAGAGGATTTTTGTATCATATCGAAATTAAAGCATTTGTGCATTCTGAAGCATGTATAAATGATTTGGAAAGATTTTCCCAACATTTTCAACGAAAATATTCTAGCTTTGAAAGTTATCAAAATATAAATGATAGAAATTTGGATAATTGGCAATGTAGATACTATAGAGAAAATTTTGAAAAATTAGTGAAAATTAAACGGAAATATGATCCGTATAATTTATTTCGTTGGAATCAAAGTATACCTACTTATATTGAAATATCATGTGATTAAGGATATATACTATTTTTAAATTACATGATGTAAATTACATGTAAATTACATGCAGATTACGCGTTGTAGGTTGTTTTTATATCTTATGCAAAGGAATTTTTATCAATTGAATATGTAAGGGTGTCGTTTATGCCGATTTTCTTGAACCCTTTTTGGTAGAAGTTATGATTTATTTTAGGGAATGGCTAAGGCTCGGCGTGGTCATATATTTAATAAAAGTTAGTGAGTTTTAGTTTAAGTTAGTAATAAAATAAGTTGGAGCAATTTTCGATTCGTGACCCGTACGGGTTAACCAACCCGGTAATAACTTTAAAAGTTTATATCACATAATTAGATATTATTTCAGTCAAATTTGTTGGATAGTTATCTATTTTTCGAATGTTTAATCTTCGAGGTTTTTTTTTTAAAAAAAAAATCAAAACATCTTGATAATTTGGGCCGTGATCTGAGAAAAGGGACGAACTTGACAAAAAAAAAAAA